ACCCTAAACCCTAAACCCCCCAAGAGTTTAGGATTGTAAGGTCTTGGGGTTCAGGGATCCTTGGCGTTGGAGGATCAAAGCAAGGAGAGTGCACGGTGCACTATTTAAAGGAACCCGTTCATCGGCTATTTCTCAATCACGCCCAGGCAATTCTAGTATGCCAGGGAAGCACCACAGCTTGTCTTTGGAGCTTTCGTCTGCCACCTCGAGCTCTCGATGTCAAACTGTCCACAGGCCCGAACCCTCCACAACCCTCCACTGACATGACCTCAGAGGGCCAAAGGCTAAAGCAGAGACACTACGAGGCTGGTAAAGGGCATGATGCCATGCCACAGCCTAAACTCGAAGCTGAATTCCCTTAAATCCTGCGGCCCGATCTCCCCGGTGCGACTCAATGAGCTGGGCGGGTGGGACAACATCTCTGCAGGCCACGCAATCAGATGCAAACCAAACCGCGGAAGTCTGGTGGATTCTACGGCTACCTGCCTGCAAGGGTTTCTAGGAAGGTGTTTGCGGGGGGGGGGGGGGGGTCTCCTAGAGTCTGCGGGCTTAGGGACAAGTGACTTCGGCTCATAAGGTTTAGGGAGTTTAGGGTTTCTAGTGTGCAAGTTTCAGAAGTTAGCAACAGTTGCCCTTGTCATTTTACTCGGCGTGTCACATCCCCCCCTAGCAAAGTGTAGTACCACTGATTCATCCTGGGCTCTACATAAAATAGGGGCCTAAATAACTACCAATACTATTTGGGGGGTTCCTTACTTTAGTTATAGCATACACAATTGGCCTCAAAACCCTAGTCTAACTATCAAGGCCCCTACATTATCCAGAGTAGTCTGTGCTTGTCGACTTCATGGACCCTGTCGCAGCAATTTCATGCACTTGGAGCACTAGGTTCGGTTTGTTGTCGGCTCCGGGCCGTGTTTTGAAGAAGACAACGATGAGAGCCACTTATGCAGTGAGACCGTTTACCTCAATACACTTCTCAGACTATTTTTTCTGGTTAGTTCCATCGCTTCTCATGGGATAGATTCTGTCTGTTGCTGAATTTAGCTTACCTAGGTTTCTCGAGTCGTCGAAACCCAGGAACCTTAGCAGATGAACCATGAACTGAAGCCCCACACAGGCTGTTTTCTCCGAACCCTGAAAGTCCCAAATCTCGGAGGTTTCACCAACGACCCGAACTCCTGCTTCAGCGGCCAGCGCGGAAGCCTGCCGCCGCCGCAGCAGGAGTGGCTCGCTGAGGAGCATCCGGAGATTCGAAGCCGATTTTGGGGTTTAGCATGTACATAAGGTTGTGGGGATCGGGTTTTAGGGTCAGGGCTTGCAGGATGGATTTCAGCTTTCAGGACAGGGGTCTGGGCTTCGGAGATTCGGATCCGGAAAGGTGCGATGTTATCTACAGTGGAACTGCCCACCCAGTGGTGGCTGGACTCAGTCGAACCGAACCGTATAAAATTCCAAAACCCTGCCCGTCCGCAAGGACCTGAGATGGGAGGTGACCTACTCAGGAAGCTGCGACGGCGGTGTCGTCAGTTCCTGAGTTCCGTCTAAGATGCGCAGCAAGTATTTCTAATCTACCGTTCTTCTCGAAGGCTGGAGGGGCTGATGCCGATACAGGTGGTGGTGATATTTTGGTATTGTGCTTTACGATATTTCCATCATCTGCTCCAGCAGTGCTTCTTGCAGATGTCCTAAAGCAGAAAAACAGTAAAATCAAAAGTCTGCAGCAATTGACACCTTGGTCTGCTTTAGGAGTTCAGGTCCTTCCTTCATTCATTTCTTGTGAGTCTCAATCCTGTAGCTTTATAACCTTCTTATAGAGCTCTCACCAAAGAGACTTTGCGGAACTATACTCAGGGTGCCGGGGCCCTCTTGGGAAGTTCGGTGTAGAGGGTATGGTAATGTAAGGTTGGGCCTCAACGAGGGTTCCACAGAAGGGTTCTGTTGCAGGGGTCTACGTGGCTGCATAGCAACGGATCTGTAAAGGTATCTGTCGGGCTTCTATTAACTGGCTCTACCGGGGTTCTTCAATGGTTCTCTTGGAAGAACGACTTTTCAACTGACGCAGTTCGCTCTAACCGCGCAAGCAAAGCTCTCAACCTGTCAATCATTCACCACATGAAGCACAGACTACCTGAACCAAGAAGCTTTTGGGGTGTTGGATTGCGCAACGCCTCAAGGCAGCTGTGGATCACAGATGCGCAGTACTTGCCGACTCCTCCAGCCGATTCTTGCCAGCAGTTCTCTGGGAAACTCATACCTGTCAGTGCCGCCAACACGGTTGATCGAAGAGCATCTTGTTTTGAGACCTGCGCAGTGGGACTGCTGGCTTTTTTGCGACATGCCCACAAGGACATGTCAGGATCAAAGGCACGGCCTTGACCCACATAGACCCCACACGCCTGCACTGCAAGAAGCTCGATCAAGCTTCGCGTCAGCGGAATCGAGTTCCGACCCAGGTGACTTTGTCGACCTTGTGCTGGTTGCGATGCGAGAGGGCGCCAGATCTGTGACTTGGCGCATCTCGTGCCCTAACCCCCCAGGTACCTACTATATAGGGCCCTAGGGGCTCTAGTACCCTATATAGTAGGTACCTGGGGGGTTAGGGGTGGTTTAGAGATTGAGCCTTTGAATGGTGCCTAGGACCTCGGGCTGGGCTTTGCTTTGAGAGTTACTTCTTTGCCTCTCTTTCCCTGTGCAGAGCTTGACAGTCCCCACTTGAGCCAAGGAGATGGAACCGCTTTCCTGCCCAGGGCTATCTTGTTACCCCCTAAACCCTAAACCCTCAACCCTCAACCCTTAAACCCTAAACCCGAAACCCTAAACCCTAAACCCTAAACCGTATTGTTTCTCATAGGTGCCGGCAGCCAGGGTGGCTGCTTCGATCAGACTCCGCGCAACACAGAATCAGAAGCCGAGGTTCTCCTGAAGGCAGCGGACTCCGTGTCCCCACCCGCCAAGGACCGACTTCAGGGATTTGAAGAGCCCTTCAGCCCTTCCCATGGATCCTATAGCCCCTCTTAAAAGGATGCAGAGAAGCCTTTAATGCCCCGGTCTACATTCTACCCATAGGCCCCATAGTAGTTCCTTTTGGGGATTACCTTATAGGATTCTAAAGATGAGCTTCAAAAAGGAACTACTAGGCCTTTGGGGAACCATCAGGGTTGAGGGCTTGGTGTTTTGAAGGCCCCCATATTGGCACCTTGCCGAAGGACCCTAAACCCTAAACCCTAAACCCTGAGACCCTAAACCATAAGGGTTGAGGGCTTGGGGTATTTAGAAGGCCCCCATATATTGGCACCTTGCCGAATCGAAGGACCCTAAACCCTAAACCCTGAAACCCTAAACCATAAGGGTTGAGGGCTTGGGGTATTTTGAAGGCCCCCCATATCGGCACCTTGCCGAAGGACCCTAAACCCTGAACCCTAAACCCTGAAACCCTAAACCATAAGGGTTGAGGGCTTGGGGTATTTAGAAGGCCCCCCCCTATGGGCACCTTGCCGAATCGAAGGACCCTAAACCCTAAACCCTGAAATCCTAAACCATAAGGGTTGAGGGCTTGGGGTATTTAGAAGGCCCCCATATTGGCACCTTGCCGAATCGAAGGACGAGATGGATGCCCTGGGCCTCAGACAGGCGATGCTCTTCGCCCCCAGCATCCGCGATGCGGGCGAGAGGCCGGGTTCAGGTATGTTCAAGGCTTCCAGGATCTTCTTATTGGGTTAAAGTTCTATGGATCTTATTATCGGCTTAAAGTTGTTCTATTTGGGCATATCGGGTTAAAGGTCCATTTGGGGCACGTAAAGATGTTTAAAGGGTGTTGCATGTTTTGTCCATTTCTGAGTTCCTCATAATATCAGAGGTGTTGGACTATACAGGTTCCCACTGGAACCTTGCGACCCTTGAAGCCCCTACAGACAGTGATCCAGAGAGCTGCAGATAATCGCGGATTGGCAGAAGTAGTAAGTCGACTAACATAGGTTAACCGCGTGCAGCTGCCATGTATCTATTGCCCCAAGGCTCCATGTTCAATCATTCTGGCCCACTCAGGTACATGACCGAAATCCTCCAGGCGCGGCCCTTCTTGGCTGTGCATTGTCGGAGCCGCTGTCTCAGAGTGGGGGGGCAGCGTGGGTATAGACTTGTGGATCTTCCAATCTGGCCCAGGTGTCACTGCCAAGGTTTCGCAAGTATTCAAGTGTCATCATCATCCATCATCATCATCATCACTGTAATCGTCATCATCGTCATCATCATCATCATCTCAGAGTCACAGACATGTGACTCTTCATTTAGAGAAGTTCGGTTTCAATGTCTAGACTGTTGTCTTGCAATTGCTGTAGCCAGCTTTCCAGGAGCAGAGATCACAGAGTTTAGGATGTGAAGCTTGACTTTTGCAATTTCGCGAGTTTCTGCCCTCCCCCCCCCCCCCTCCCAGACCTTAAGCTGAGCTTTGGAACCCCGACCCTAAGCCACCCTAACTCCCCAGAAGCCCTATAATTATAAGGCCGTATATACCCTAACACCTGCTACAATTAAAGCCCTCAACAACCAACAAGTCGAGGAACGGATTTCCTGCGGGCGCGGGAGTCGACCACGCCGACGCCGCACTCCATTGCGGAGCAGGTTTAGGGTTTAGGATGGTTTAGGGGGTTGGGGTTTAAGGGTTCAGGGGTTTAAGGTTTAGGGTGGTCTTCCCAGAAAGAACTTACAGAGGACTTAAGGGGGTCGTTTGTACTTGTAATCTTGAGGTCAAGCATGTTTCATAACCCCGGGCTCCTTGCTCAGGCTTATAGGGAGCCCTCTCATAGGCCAGTTTAGATATCAAAGCTCGAGGAATGTCCCAACAAATCCTGGGGCCCGCAGCCGGCACCTCACGGGGCCGAAGCTGAGCCATTGAACTCGAGACCGGCAAGCTCCAAATGTGGCGATTTTAGGGTTTAGGGTTTAGGGTCTTTGAGGCTTGGACAGTCAGGCGATTGCACAAGTCCTGATGCAAAAAAGGGCTTTTTGAGGGAGGCATCTCTTATTATACGCTAGTCTGGATTCGAAGGGGATGCTATTAACTGTTATTTGTTTTGAGATGGCCACGTGTAAGCTCCAAGCTCCAAGTTAGGAAAAGCCCGAAGCTATACTTCCTGCGGCATCCGAGAGGTCGACTTTGCTTTAGCTGACTTCGGCCTTGATCAGGCCTTCTGGACTCTTTGCAAACTTTGAGCTTGAGAGCTTATTTTTTTTACGTTTCATTTGGGTTAAGGTTGGGAGTGTTTAAGGTTGCAGTAAGATTTGGAAGTCAGGATTTAAGTTACAGGGGCCCTGGCTGTTGGGTTTTGTAGGCTGCGAGTCTCCAGGTTTTGGGGGTGTTGAAGTTTGTACCGAACCTGTGGGCTGCCGTTGGGCTTGGTACAGTATTCTCAGTGGGCCGAACATTGGGCTCAAGCTTTGAGGTTCAAGGATCGGCGGGTCTTTGATTAGGATTGATTGGGGCCCTAAACCGTAAACCTAACACCTTAAATCCTAAGCCTTAAAAGGGGGCTCCGTTTGGCATGCTGCTAGGCTATACTTGCAAGGGCTTAGCAGATCCAACTCACCAGCACCCCCTTGCCTTGCCTGTGCGTGCCAGGGTCAGGCCCTTAATCATTAATCCCGCGTGGCTACACTTCACTTCCGGGTTCAAGAGCTTGCAACTGGGTGATATGTTCAACCCCTAAACTCGTAGGACCTCAACCCACCCACGACATCGCACTTTGAAGAGTCAGGGCCAGTTGGCCAAAGTTTGAAACCGACCGTCTCCGGACTTCATAATTATAGGAGCTGAATCCGTCGCTTCATTTTTGCTACATTCGGGGGCTCTGACATTCTTATAAGCCGGCAGTCGCCAAACGGCTCATTCGGGACGTTCATACCAACGGAGATGGGGCCAAAGCTTCCCAACCTGTTGCAAGTTGCTACCTTCGGGGGTTCTGATTTCATAGAAGCAGAAACGGGGTCGAGCGAGGTCTACGTCGCCACCGATGCCCCCGACGAGCTCCGGGAGCAGCTGCGCTCCGGCATCCGACGAGGACGGGAAGCCTCGCTTTTTGTTAAAACTCCTTAATTAAGTTTAGGGGTTTAGGGTTTAGGGTTTAGGGTTTAGGGTAATATACTTTGGGTCATAATATTAGGGACCCTGTAATTTAAGGAATATTACTCCTACGTATACTTCTGGGAACCAGGCTTAAAGCTTATAGGGTTTGGGCAACTTCCCTTTTGGAAACTGCCGTACTTTCTTGGGAACAGGGAGACAGGACATTTTAAGTGAGGGAAGCCTCGAACGGGTGTCTGAGCTTCTCAAGACCTGAAAGTCCAGTGCATGTACCATGAACTCCTCCCCTCAGGTCCTAAGCCCTTTCTGGCCCTACAAGCCTTCAGCCCTGAAGTTTGCAGCCCTAAAGCCTAAAGCCCTAAACCCTAAAGCCTAAAGCCTAAAGTCCTAAACCCTAAAGCCCTGAAGCCTAAAGCCCTGAAGCCTGCAGGCCTAAACCTTCCGCCTCAGAGAACAGCCGAGCCTGGCCTAACGCTGCCACAACTACGAGAAGCCCTCAATTCATGTTGGCCTCTAGCTATAGTCTCCATTGTAGTTCCTTTTTTGGGGTTTACCTTGTAGGAGCCTAAGTACAAAACTGGCTAAACCAAAAAAAGGAACTACAGTGGACACTACAGGTAGCAGGAGGCTCAACTTACAATTACAATCCCCATCCTAGAAGTTCTCGCAGCCGCGCCCAGCCGCGCGCGCCTGCGTTTGTAGGAACGGTGTTTTTCTTGGAAGATCAGCCGGATCTGGCCGGAAGCCCAGATGATACTGTTGATGGACAAAATCCTGCATGGCCTTATGTACCTAAACTATGGGATTTATGGTACTATACTATATTTGGGTCATGCAGAATTTTGTCCATCAACAGTAGGAATTGTCAGGTGTGCTTCAGAACCGACTCTCCAGGACACCTGCCCTTAAAGTCCCGTCTGCATTGGCGTGTTGTAGTCCTTGACTTTGAGCAGCCCCCGCTTGAAATTGTGGGCTGTGTCATTCTTCTCGATGCCACCGGCTCGCTGTTAAGCTGTTCATGTTTTGCCCCAAGGCCAGCGACAGAGGCCGGATTGCTTTTGCCATGGGATTCAATGGGGGGCGGCTCCCCGCAGACGTTCCTCCAAGAATTCACGGACTGCAGCTCTCGCTTGTTCAGACAGATTCACCTGCTCGACCCGATAGCCCTGAGCCATGACCCCCCAGACTCCCAGACCTTGAGCACTATAGACTTGCAAACCCATAACCCTGCATTGCGGCTTGTGCCCTTTCCGCAGCGCCCATGAAGAAAACCTGGGAGGCCTTTTAGAGGGTGAGCTTGCGGCCATTGAGCCGGGAACCTCAGATCGACGTTCAGCTCAGGATTTAGGGCTCACGAGAATGCCTGGGAGAGAGAGAGAGAGCGAGAGAGACGAAGAGAGGCTTTAGTGCTATAGTTTCAAAAATCCGCACCCCTCCCCTCCCGGAGTTTTTTCCAAAGATCACGAAGCCCTAAAACACCCGAGTAATAGAAGCTCTAGACGCAGCATGTCACACAACCACCGGCATGATCATCACCTGCGCTGTTGCCGGCCATATCAGTGTTAAGGACGCCATCATCTTCATGGGCATCATCATAATATTATTCTATCTTCCCCTCGGGCTCCAGTTGCTTAAATAGAAGGTTACTGTGGTACATAGTATATGATTAGTCACCTTCTTCTTTTGTGACTGGAGCCCCAGGATTGTTCTTCACCTAAACCCGAAACCCTGTGCCAAAGAAAACTGAATTCCTAAACCCTAAAATAGAATCCTGTTCTTTGTGAACTTTTTCGAAGAGTATGAGCCTCTTTCTCCTCCCTGATGCCTACATGTTCGTATACCTTTCATGGGTGGTTCTTGCTACCGCCCGTACGCTTGTGGGGTCGTGCAATGCTGGGTAGTTTCACCTCCACGGGGCCACCAGGGGCGAGTTGCCGTCGAAAAGTTCATCCAACACCCTAAACCCTAAACCCCACCCTTAAAACACCCTATAAACCTTAAACCCTACCTTAAAAAAGTAGGAGGCAAACCAAAGGACCCTGAAGAAACACATGAATCCTACGCTTCCAAGCAGAGCCAAGGATGTGGATCTCGGCCAGGGCCACGGCGTTCATGGGAACCCAGGAGCTCGGGAGCTGTTGCATCTGTTCTCGGGGCTTCAGGATTTTGTAGGGTTTGGGGCTTAGGGTTTACGAGTCAGGTGTCCTGGCGTGACGTTGCAAGCCAGTTGCAAAGGGTTTGGAGTTTAACTAAGTTTTAGGGTTTGGGGTTTGGCATTTTAGGGTTTGGTGCCTCGACACTGGGTGCGAAAAGGGTTTGGGGTTTAGGGTTTGCTGGGCTGTAATGTGTTCTGGTGCATTTCATGCCTTGTGATGCACGAGCCATCGACGAGAGACCTCGTGCCAAAAAAGGTTTGGGGCCAGTGAAACTCAAAGGGCTCTGGAGTTTTTGGTTTTGGGGCCCGGTGCACTTGCGCATGAAGCTCGATAGCAAAACAGCTCCGTGCAAATTGGATCGGACAAGATACTTGAAGGATCATGGGACTTAGTAAGTAGGGTTATAATTAAGGTAACTATACTTATAACCCCAATTAGGGGACTTATAACCTTGCTTACTAAGTGCCATGATCCTCCAAGTAGTGACATCGCATGACAGCCCCATCATCGCTCCCTATAGCCGCCCTGCAGAGGGATATTTCCCGGCCAGGAGTCGCGCTTCACCATGCACATCCAGGCCGCAGCTGCTCCCAACCAGATGCTCCGAAGCGCTTGGTTTGGGAAAAGTTTCTGGTAGGTATCTTAGCTGCCTCAGCACGCGCGTCCCGACGTTCTGAACGCTCGTTTTCAAAACTTGCGTCCTAAAGCCGCACGTCCTGAAATTACATAATCC